CAATATTCTGTAACTACTTACTACTATTTAAATATTCAATGTAGGTTTAACGATTAAAAATGTACAAAAATTAGTACTTTTTTTAAGTTTAGAAGCGGTTGAAATTTTAAGTCGCAACTTCAACTTCCGTCGAAATCGTTCCACACAAACTGACGCGCCCTACTTACATATACAATATAGCGTTATTTCAAATATACACTCTAAAATATTTTTGTTTTAATTTGCGCATATTAAGATAGGTAACCAGTTTCCTCTCTGAATGAATGCAAATTTACACACCGTGTTAATTAAATTAAACACTGCTTGCTTATTTTTACTTATCATATGTGTGGCGTAGAACAAATTTCAAATTTGTTTTTTGAGTTCTAAACGTTTATTGTTCACAATTTCACAGTTTACACATAAAATGTTTAAAATTTCCTCTAAAAAATGTTGTTTAAATTTACGCATATAAAGAGAGGTAACCAGTTTCCTCTCCTAGTGTGTGCAAAATTAATCACTGTCTTTTTACTGCTACATACCAAATTTATCACCTTGAGAAAAAATACACATAAAGTGTTTAAAGTTGAGTAAATATGAGCACTTAGCATTAGCGCACACAAGGGGTGGGTTTTGGGGTTCAAATTTTAAATGTTCGGTATTCGAAGTATTTAAAAAATGAGAAACCAGAAATCGACGAAAATGAACATAAAAGTGTAAAAATTTCATGGAATTATTTAATTTATTTATATTAAAATTCTATTCTACTTTTTATTAAACAAGTCATTTTTAAGCAAAAAAAGCAAAGCCCGCGTTTATTCTCATATACAAATTTAAGAGTACCGTTTTTTTTTCATGATTTAATGATCGGATCTAAACCAAATTACGGGACGACCCTTAAGGTACCATATTTCCGGTAAAAAAAAATTATTGCAATCGGTTCACGCGGTTCAAAGTTATGCGGTGGCATACATAAAAGAACAAAAAACACTCCGAAGAATTGATAACCTCCCCTTTTTTGAAGCCGGTTGAAAATGTTTGAGTTCTTTGTAAATTTTATGTAAATAAAATGCAATTTATGAAACTTTAAAAAGTTTATTTATTTATTACATACTGTACATAAAACTTGCATAAATGTATTTTAGAGAGCATATTATCTGAAGCGAATTTTCAGTATTTTCTGATGATATATATTCATTAAAAATTTAATTTAGTGTGTATTACTAGTAAGAATATTGTATGAGGGAAATATCTGTCGCGTACGTTATAATGTTTTTTTAATAAAAACTAACCAGAGATAAAAAAAAATGGAAGGATTGTAAAGGTACATTATTTAGCTTAGTTTAGGAATTTTTAACAAAAATAAAAACTCCCATGATTCGCAGATTTTCGCAAATATGTACACTTCTTTTTTTGTCGCGCACGTTATCACCTTGTTTTGTACGGATATTTTCCACACCCACCAAAGTTTCGAGGCTGCTTATATTTTTCTTCTTGTTTTTCAGTAACTTCTATTTTTGAGAGATTTATGTTACTCCATAAGCGTACGAATGTCGCGTACGGCTGCATGGAAACACCCATATGTATATTTTCCGTGGAAATTCTGTTCTGCGCTGGTAACAAAATTTTTTAGCCGATAAAAAATCATTTCATTTCTGTTAATAACACTTGTAAATTTTTCGGTGACCGAATATTCGGTAACAATCAAAGTAACACTAAATTAGTTAATGGAAGCCAATTTCACAAAAGCAATTTAAGTGAAATAATTTCACAATCGAACGGATGGAAAATAATTTTATAAACTTACACTTTACCTTTTCAAAGCTCACCGAGATCACAAGTTGGTTTGATTGCCGCAAGTGCAAAATTTTAACTGTGAAACGATAATTCAAATATGTATTTATGTCCAGCCCGGGTGGGAGTCATTCAAAGTGTTGTATTTGAAATAACAACCCTGCCGTGCGCAAGTATCCCCATGAAATAAAGTTACTAGTTCTGAAATGGTCTCTAACAGAATAAGTCTTGGACTGGTTGCTTTGTTATACAATGAGGTACACTAGAAACATACTTAAAAAATTCCGATTTCTGCTGGCAGACGAAGTGTAAAAAATTCAAATCTAACCACGATTCGTTCATCTGTGCAAGCATCAACGTGCACGAACAAAGCATTGTGTTGTTGTTGTTTAAGTAACATCGGCTTACGGGTCGCTCGGCGACAACAATCGTCAACGGACGAGACTTTTCTTTTATGGGGCAACTGTCTACCGCCAATGGAATGGTGCCATTATAAATAAAGGCAGTTGTAGCCGTTGTTCGGAGATTGAGCGGAAACTAGTGTTGTAGAAAAAGGAACGCATATTGAACCATTTTTGGGCTAGGGAAATCTCCTGCAGGGAAATCGATATAGAGCGAAGACGAGTGTTTCCCATACTCATGCAAATCTTTTACATACGTATATAGTATGTAAGTGCATAAGCACATGCAAGTTCTTATCACGCCTTTGGTGTAAATGCAGAAGTAAAAACACACAGTGAAGCTTCGATAATAAACATTGATAAAATTAAAAATTCAATATATCAAAATTTTTGTTGGAAAAATCTTGTAGTTGCGTGATTTTCCATACAAATTTTTAGCATGAAAACCTTCGGAATTCGGTTAAAGTCCCGTTTGCAAACGAAGTGTCGGCTCAAACACTTCTACATAACGATTTCTAAACATTGCTAGCTTAATGTGCATTTTTACAAATTTTACGAAGATTTCTTATAGCCATTTTTCAAGTATTTTGCAAAACTTTGAAGGCAACATTTTGAGTGCATTTAAAGCAAAGCAAAACGCCATACAAATGAAAAGGATTCGATGGTAATTAAAAGATTTCGCAATATTTTGTGTCTTATAGAACTTTCTGTGCCTATTTTGGACTTAGCAAATTTGCCTTCCATTGCATATCAACGGGAAGATATAAAACAAGTACTTTAATCCTTTTGGAGAGGATGAATTTTTTATTTCTCTTGCTTTCTATATCAAAGTATAAGTTTTCACAAAAGCTAAGCTAGCGATATAATGACGGTTACAGTCCCGTTTAAAAACAAAAAAAAAAAAACGAAACTATACTTCTGTGGTCATAATCAATAAGTCGAAAAACCTGAATTCGAGAAAAAACGTTTTAAACCTTTCGATTGTAATGTTAGCCTTATGGAGAAACCAAAATATTTTCGCCTATAACTTTTTAAGTAGCCTAGCTAGCCTATACCTTTTTAAGTAGCCTAGCGAGATGAGGATTTCACATACGCATGGAATAATAGTTGAAGAATTCGATAGCATATAAAAAATCCATTCTTTCTTAAGTCGAGTTGGGCGGTTATTGCTTGTGCTTCGTTGTATCGAGATTTTCTCATTCTATAAATATAACGAAACTATAAATATAACGGAGCATTTGTCTAACCCCTTCAACTTCGTTATATCGAGGTTCCACTGTTCCATGGTTTGTTATCGCTTTTGGTTTGCTTTCGAGAGTTTTGTTATTGCGCGTTCGCTTATAAAAGTGTTCGCATTTCTTCAATCATAATATCGTATGAATATATGTACATGAAGATCATATAAAAAAAATTTTACTTTTTATAAAGATTTTTTCTGTTGTAAGTCAGAAGTATCGCAGAGTATTTACAAGTTTGATGTCGCAAATAATTTGTCGTTATAAAGTCTTACATGTAAATATGTGAAAATTAGATGACAAACGTGCTAATACATTTATGTATAAGAAAATTTAATAATTTTGAACACATAAAACAATCAGACGGTAGATACAGAGTAGGCTGAGGTCACGTTCTTTTCTATAGTAATCGTACTTCAGTTTGACAAACCTATCCGCCATTTTGTTTTTCTTAAAGCTTATATCAGGAAAACAAAACCTATCTGCCATTTTGAATCCGCCATTTGGTTTTTTTTTTTCAAAGCCGATAACAGATTCGAAATCAGCGACTCCAAAAAACCTGAGTATAAAAATGCAACGTAAAAACAATGATAATTTCGACTTTTGGCCAAGTTTTTGGACCACTGTGCAACGTTGAGTTGAAAGTACGCATTCGCAATAATAATGTAGAAATAAAGCTTTATTTTACATCTATTATTATTTATTTTGTTTCATCTAATTTTCTTACATGTTTAACTTCATATTTTATTTTATTCTATTTTATATTTTTATTAATTATATTATTTTGTTTTGTTTTTATTTTAATTACTGTATTCTAATTTTTTAATTTAATTATTTTTTAATTTTGAACTTTTTTTATAAATTTTTTTTTTATTGTTTTATATACATATGTATTATCTTACTCACATACATTTTTTTATTTTATTTTATATATTGTTTCCCTTTTTATTTAGTTCAGAATTTTTGTTTTTATTTAAATAATTATTTCATTTTACATTTTCATTTTTTATTTTATTGGACTTTTTATTTGCTTATTATTTGTGTTTATTCACATTTTTTATCTTATTTTTTAAAGTCCTTTTATTTCATATTTCTATTTTGGATGTCATTATACCCGAGCGCACTTGTGCACAAGGGTATTATAACTTTGTTCACATAACGGTTGTTTGTAACAGGCAAAACGAATCGAGATAGATATAGACAAATGTATACATAAATGATCAGGATAAAAAGATAAATCGATTAAGCGGTGACTGTCTGTGCGTCCGTCCGTCCGTCCGTCTGTCCGTCCGTCTGTGCACACGATAACTCGAGTAAAAATTAAGATATCGTAACGAAACTTGGTACGTGTACTTTCGGGCGTAGGACGGATGTTATTGAAAATGGGCAAAATCGGACAATAACCACGCCTACCTCCCATATAACGGTAATTTTCAGAAATACGAAAATGCGATATTTTAATAAATACTGAAGATAATTCACTCAAAATTGATAATTACAATAAGTTTTAGACGAAAAATAAGAATATTATAAATTTTTGAAAAATGGGCGTAGCCACGCCCACTTATGGTTACATGTGTATATCTTGGCAACCGCAGCACCGATTTCTTCCAAACTTGGCACAGTTGTTGACTTTGGTACATCATACCAACTTTTACAATTTTAAAAATCGGACAATAACCACGCCCACATTCCATATAACGGTAATTTAGAGAAATACGAAATCTTCGATAAAGCAGTAAATATTAAAGCTAATTTATTCTAAATTGACGCTTGCAGCAATTCTTTACCAAGAAATACGTTTATGATAAAATTTTGGAAAATGGGCGTGGCACCGCCCACTTATGATCACGTATATGTATCTCGGTAACCGTTCAACCAATTTGTACCAAACTCGGTATGATTATTGTGCTTGCCAAATATAAGTAAAACGCTGAAAATTATTGAAATCGGACTAAAATTACCGCTTTTCATATTACGGTAAATTTTAAAAATGCTTGAAACTTCAATATTTCGAAATTTAAGGACGCTGATTTACTCAAAATTGATAAACCCCGGATTACGATGTAACGGTAGCTTTCGGGAAGGTGGAAAACATATATTTAATTGTTGCGCCGGGTATTTAATGTTCGGCTCCGCCCGAACTTAAACTTTCTTACTTGTTTTTTATTTGATTTTTTTTTCAGTTAAAGCATTTTACTTAATTTAATATTCTACTTTTTTTAATTATTTAATTTAATTACATTTTTTTTATTATATTTTGTTTTATTTTATTTTATTTTATTTTATTTTATTTTATTTTATTTTATTTTATTTTATTTTATTTTATTTTATTTTATTTTATTTTATTTTATTTTATTTTATTTTATTTTATTTTATTTTATTTTATTTTATTTTATTTATT